TCCCCGGAGCGGGCGGGCGCCGCGGCGGGCGGGCACGAGCAGGGGCTGGGGCTGGGGCCGCTGCAGCAGCGGCGCGCGGCGCTCGAGGAGGCGCTTGGCAGCGGCTGGGTGACGACTGAGCCTGTTGGACTTCCGCTCGTCGCGGAGGATCCGCAGGAGAGCCCGCCTCCATCCCAGCCGCCGGCGCGCGGCGTGTGACACCTCGCGGGCCAGCCGGCTGGGCGCGTGGCGCGGCCGCGCTGCGGGCGGCCGATGCGGGGGCCGGCCACGAGCGCGTGTCGCTCGGGCGGGGCCGCAGGGAGCGTGGGGCCCTATGTCAACTCCAGGGTTGTTGAGGGGGTTTATCCTAAGGGGCAAGAGAAAAAGAAGATGCGACAAAGAGAGATCATCATCATCTGTCAATGATAAGGGGGCGCGCGCGCCGAACCAGGCCCGGCCGGGCCTGGCGCGCGCGCGGCAGCGCCGGCATTCATGCGCCCGAATTTGGGCGCGCCCCGGGCTGGCGGTTTTCCCCAGGCTCCCAGATATTTGCCAAGCGCCATCGCAGTCCTGCCTGGCGGCTGCTCGCACGCGTAGACACACACCCACACACGCACCGCCGGCGCACATCCCCCCGCCACCACAACGCACTGCAAACTGCTCTTGAAAAGGGGGGGGCCGCCTGCCCCGCTGCCGGCCGCGGGCGCGGCCCCAGCCGCGCGGCCGCCCCCTTGGGGCCGCGCCGGGCGCGGGCGGGCGCCTCCTCCCGGACGGTGGACGGCCGGCCGGCCCATACACCCCCTTTGCCGCAATCGTGCCGCGCGGGGCGGCGTGGCCCCCGCCCATCGCGCCGCACCCGCCCCTGCGCTGGGGCTGCCTGAGCGGCGTTCGGTCGCTTGGGGTAGCGTATGTGCCTCCCTGGACCCCCCCTTCCCCCCCACCAGGCGCGCCTCTTAAGCTGCTTGTATACAATTCGTCCATCTCGGCGGCCCGCGCGCCGCAGATAGACCGACAACTGTTGTCCGTTTCCCCACTGCAAAACCCGGCGGCCTGCCGCCTTCTATACGCGGCCCCCTGCCGTCACGCGACGAGCCCGGGGCCGGGCTGCTGGCACCGGCACGGCCGCACGGCAAGGGAGGGGCCTGGGGTCGGCCGGCGCGCCCAGCGCCGCGCCGCCTCCCAGCGCCTGCGCCCGCCGCCGCACTCCCCACGCCGCACGGCCCCCAAGGCGCCCGGCCCGCCGTTTAGTCATAGGCTCGTTTCTGATTGTCCGTTGATGCCTCTTTTGATTCCGTTGATGCGTCTTTTGATACCCGGCTTCACTAGCCGCGCCGCCGCGCAGCAAGTGCAAAGTTTTGCGAGCAGGAAGCGAACGCGAGACCGACACTCGGGCCCCCTTTACACACACATACACACACGACACATGTCGCGCGTTGGCGCCGCCGCGTGGCTCCCGCGCGACGAGGACGCGCGTTTCCGCACTCCCGAGCAGCGCACGGGTGCGGGGGCGCCCCTCGTCAGGCGTGTGCGCGCGCTCCTGGCAACCGCACACTTGCAGCACTCATGCCGCACTCCTTGGTAGCCCCATCTTGCACATGCACAGCCCCCTTCCCTTGCCGCGCAGCTTGATCGCGAAAGCCACGCGCGGCAGCCGACCGCCTGGCCCCCATGCAATGTAGGCGGGGCCCGCGAGGGCGCGCGGCCCCGCGCCGCGCCTCGTGCAGCGCAGCGCGCCACGGCGCGTTTGGATGGAGCGCCCATCGCCACGCGCCGCCGCCGCCCGCCCGCCATATCGCCCCTCTTGCCGCGCCCGCCGTTTGCTCCTCGTCAATTGACCAGCCAAACAGTTGCGTTCCGTAGTCCCGTCCTTTTGAATCATGCAAAGGCACCCCCGTGCCCCTTCAGCCGTCCGTCATCAAAACGCACGTGCGCCCCCAAGCCCTGGCACCGCGGCCGCCGCCTGCAGTGCGCAGCCCCGGCCCCGCCCCCAACATTTTTGAGACCAGCCGGGCAGCCCTTGGGGGTGACGGCGGCTCCCGTCACTCCTGCTCCCAAGCAACCGACCCCCTTGGCCTGGTCAAGCGCCACCAGCTGCGCCACTCAACATCCTGTAAACATTTGGTATCGACACACGGTTGTGTTGGCCTGGGGCCCAGGGTTGGGTTGCAGGTCTGCCAGGGGGATGTATCGCTGTACACTTCAACCATTATTACTGCAGGCGTTTGGGCCAGGGGGATGCCAATGCGTTGTTGTGCGAGGAAGTGCCCCATGCGGTGGTGGGCTCGCTGGCGGCGACGGCCGCCATACGCAAGCTGCAAGCGACGAAAGGACCCGCCGCGTGGTGGGGTGGAGGTTTGAAGCGGGCCGCGGCTCCCGGGACCCCGCCAGGCGCTTGCAATGCTGACAAACAGGGCTGGTGGGCGGAAGTCCATATCAACCTCCCGTCTGCCAGCCGATCGCCGCCGAAAGAGGCCAGAAATTCAGAAATCCCACTCGCACGAACAGCACCCCTGTATGGTATGTTGTTGCCAGGCGCAGGCCGGCGCGCCCGCCCGCAAAACCCCTGCAAAGGCTTCCGCCTTGCCATGCTCGGCCAGCCGTCCGTCTGCGTACGCCCCCCCCACGCCACCATGCGTGATGTTTTCCGCGCGGTCAACGACACCAGCCCCAGGCTTCCGTGTGTGTTCTGGGATCCTGACTCCAACTCAGAAATCGAAGCGTGTTTTTGTACCTGGGACGTCACTGCTTGTTGCGGCAGCCTTTACCTTCTCACTTATATCATGTGGCTTGCACGTGACAGCGCCTTGCCGCATGCGCACGTCAAGCCCCTGGCCGCGGCGCGGCATCATCCGCCAAAACCGCGACCCCCTTGAACGGCCGGCTTCCGCCATCAACAGACGCGAGATCCGTTGCGGAAGGCCACCGCGGCACTTCTGAGGCCATGTGCATGATGCCTACCACCTTGATGCGGCGCTCACGGGTCGCGGGTGAGTAGTGGGAGGAATGCCTAGGAGGTGGCGCTGCGAGGAAGCCGCAGCTGGCGCGCTGGCGGCAGGTAAACTGCAAATAAGCCCTGCTGCCGGTGCTAATGTGAGGTTGCGGCGCCTATCTTTGCATTGTTCCCATTCCGTGTGCGTGTGTTTATCAATAAAAGCTTGGCTCACCCGGAAAACCCGTTCTAAGTTGCCACAGCAACAAAGCCAGCGAGCGACGCCTGCGCCTCACGCCTTCCGCGCGAGTGATTTCACTCTCAGATTGAATTATCAGCATTAGAACTGGTCAGTAACTAGCTGACGCCGCCCCGACGCACCACCAGAAAAGAATGCCGCGGTGACTATTTGGCGCGCGTCCCATAGACAGGCCCAGCATCTTCGCATGGAAGCCGAGGATAGCGTGGAGGCCTTTCAGGAGTGGCTGGTCGCGGCACTGAGCACGGAACCCGTCGGCAGCGGGCGGAACCGGGTGCCGACAGACGGGACCAGTGCGGGCGCGCTGACGCGCCCAACCCACCCACTTGGCGTCGAGCCGGGCGCCGCGGCTGAACCGCCTGCCGCGGCTACATCCATGGATGTGGGCGTCGCGAGGCGCGCTGCGGCGCCCAAGAAGGGCGCACGCACAAGCAAGGCCGGCGGCCGGTCCTCTCGTGCCAGCGGGGAAACGAGCCAGCAGAGGGCCCACCGGCTGTTTTATGAGCGCAAGAAAGAACGGGTGGGTCCCGCGGAACACCACGCACCCTCTCACAAACTATTCAAACCAATGCATGCACCGCGTACGACCCCTGGAGTTGCGTCGCGCCCGCCTCGGAGCCGAGCCGGGGCCCCGGTCGCGCGCCCCTGCGCTCATCCGGCGCGCAGCTCCCTGCGCGCCCATCCGAGTGACCCCGCCGGTGACGCGAGCGCGAGCGCCCCCTGCCTCGCGTGCATGCCGCCCCGTGCCCTCGCAACCTCCCGTCAGATTGCCTCGCCCCAACCCAACCTTGACCCCGCAAACCAAACATATGCACCCTGACCCCCGCAGCTGAGCACCCTGCTGTCTGAGGTGGCGTCTCGCCGCGCGGCGGCGACCCAATTGGAAGAGCGCAACGCCGAGCTCCGCCGCCGCGCCGCCGCCCTCGAGCTCACACTGGCGGGCGCAGACGCCTACCTCTCAGCCCTGTGCGCCGACGCGGGCGCGCCGGCGGCGGCGCCGCCGCCGCGCCAAGAGG